CCAGGGTTTCTGCAACTAACTCTGGCCAGTTGATCACAGGCATTGAAAGCTCCTGGGAAGCTACTGAAAGATGGAGGTTTCTCCCTTACTGAATTGGATATATCTCCCCAAAATTCATGTCTACCAGAACCTCAGGTTGTGACCTGATTTGGAAATAGGCTCTTTACAGATGTAATTAAAATGAGGTCATGTGGATTAGGGTGGGCCTTAATCCAGTGACTGGTGCTCTTGTAAGAAAATAGGCCCACAGACACTCCAAGGAAAGACTAGACGGAGACAAGACACAGGAAGATGGCCATGGACTGGTGCAGCTACAAGCCAAGGAACACCAAGGACCACTGGCAACCACCAGATTAGAAGGGGCAGAAGGGTCCTCCCCGATACCTCTGGAGAGAGCAAGGCCCTGCACACATGGTGAGGTTGAACTTCTATCCTTCAGAATTTTGAGGGAATAAAGTCCTGTTGTTTGAAGTCCCCCAGATTAAAGCAGCCCTAGGGATCTACAACCCTTCCCACTTTCTTACTTACTGAATCAAACTTCCAAGTGACAGAGCTGGGCACCTATCCATGCTTTACAAAGCAGAGCCTGAGGCTCAGCTATAAGCTCCACGAAAGTAGAGCACTTTGTTTTGCTATCCGCTGTGGCTAGCAGTGCTTGGCACAGGGTCAGCTGCTAAACATCTGTTGAGTGGGAGAATGAACGTGCACTGATGTTCAAGGATATTTTACTTGTCCTTGTTTTTCAAAAAGCAACTTTAATAATCAAATGAGAGCATGTGCATCAAGAACTTAATAGTGTCTAGCATATTATAGCTGTGCAATAAATATCAACTCCCTTAACTTGGTGGGCACTGGGAATTTTTAAAGAGTATGTGAAAACTAGCAGTTGCTACTAGGAGCTTTCTAAGAGCAATGTTCACTGTGAAGAAGATCAGTCATGCTCAGCAACAGAAAATCACTTTGTTCCAACTAGTAAGAAACTTGAAATCTTTCACTCATTTTGTTAACTGGTACTTTTGACCCTATTTCCTAAAGCTCTCAAGGCTTCCCACTTCCTGCCCTGGTTCAGATGCCATCGCTGTGGATCACTGCCAACATCCAGTGTCCAAGGTCAAGGCCACTCTCCAGTGATCCAGCACTCCCCTCTCGAGCTCTCCATGTGCTCTCATGTGAGTGTAAACGCCTAGGGAGACCTGCACCCCCAGAGCCAGTGCTGTTGGTCCCATTCCCTCTCCTCCCTCGCCAGAACACCACTGGCAGGTCACTGACGGCGACTGTCACACTGCCCTGGGTCGTGGTAGATGAACTTCCTCCACAAGCTTCTACTTATCCTTTGAACCTAGATCAAACACCTCTTCTTTGAAGCTTCCCACACCTCCTTAGGCAACGGGATATCACCGCTGGTGCAGGGGTTAAGAGTGTGAGCTTTGGAGCCAGGTTTCCTGGCTTCGAATACTGGCTCTGCCATCGAGGTGCATGGCCTTCGGTAGTTATTTAAGTTATTTCACTTTCTAAACGTTTAGATGGGACTTTAGCATGTCCCATCTGTAAAATGGGGCTAATTATAGGACCTACTAGAGGGGGCTGCCTGAGGACTTGACAATGCAAAGGAATGTTGCCAAGCAAGAACCCATTAATGTGGACAATCATTCCTAATGATAAGGTCCCCCTGGGGGGAGGGGTCAGGTCCATGGCCTCTCCCGGCAGAGCATCCTGTGGGTATGCAGGCTCTACATGGGGCGCAGTAAATGACCTATTCCTTTCTTATAAGGATTACCTGTGACACCTATGAACCCCTTGCAGGGTGGTCACAAACCCCAAGCCTTATCCTGATCACACAAGGGGCTGTCGGTCTTATACGCAGCAATCTAAAGTGGAAAGACATGCTACCTGTCATGTACCTACCATGCATTGTGCACAGTTCTTAGGGTCTCTCACTTACTCCTGACATTCAAATACAACAACCCCCATTTCCAGAAGAGAAAATTAATGAAGACTCTTTCTTCTCATCAGTCCACACAGATCGCAGAGGCTCTGTTCTGGATCCTGAGGCTCAGCACTGAATGGGACAAAGGCAGGCCTATTCTTGTGGAGCACATATTCTAGTGTGGGGGACTAGAGAGTAAATAGTCAGCAAATAATTCCAGATACTAGTAAACATAAAATAAAACAGGAAGATCTGATAGAGTGACATGGAGAAACCATAACAAAGAAGAGTAGATTCTGAATATAAGAACAGCCAGTGCAAAAGCCCTGAGACACAAATGAGCTTAACTTATTCAAGGAAGAGAAAGGTCAATGTGGGAAGGGGTAGGAGACAAGTCAGGGGGACAGGCCAGGGCCTGAATGTGTCAGGTATTACAGGCAGTGGTTAAGGACTGGGAATTTTATTTTAAGTGCAATGAGATGACACTGGAGGTCTATAAGCAAGGAAGTAACATGATCTAAGTTCTGGCTGTTGTGGCAAGAACTGGTGATGGGGACCAGGTTTAAAGAGGTTTAGAGGTTAAGTAAGCTGCTCAGGGTCTCACCATCATTACTAGTTTGCACCTAACTCCAAGGTACATTTCCACAGTGTCCCATTTTGCACACTATGGTATAATGCTATTCTGGAATCTCACATCGGACAAAGTGGGACTTCCACTGACTCCACAATCCCAGCTTTGCTTCTTGCGTTGGTCAAGTGGTAACTGCTCCTGATTCTGTGACAACAATTTCACAGCATGTACAGAAACAGGCTTTGTATTCATCTGGCAACATTCAGCAAACAGTGAGTGTCTCCTGTGTGCCAGACACCTGTAAGGTTGTTGTACAGTTTTAGAAATGTATGATTAGAGTAGATGTTCAATAAAAATGACTGTCTGGGGAAAAAAGGGCCAGCTCTAATTCCTCAAGAAAAGGTGAGCTAGTCTTCACTTTCCCTGCAAACTCTCCATTAAGCCAAATCTTCTGGAGAGCAACTGTTTCTTTGAACAGGGAGAGGAAATAAAGGAGAAACAGACTGGGGAGGTGGGACATTGTAACCCAAAGAACTCGGGGTTTGCCCTAATAAAACTAGCTTCAAGTCATGGGTGACCCTGAGCATCAACCCCTGAGTGAATTTTCTATTTCTAACCTGTAAAACCTTGATAAATCTGTCCTCCCTCCTAGGTGGGCAGCCCAATAGGGAACTGATATGGCATCAGGGCATGGGTAAGGCACAGCTAATGGGGGAACTGCCTGCCCTGTTCCTTTGGGTGGCTGGAGGAAAGTTTAAAATATGCTCACTTATATATAAAACATTGGGAATTCTCAGGCAACTGAGCGGGTTGAGATTATACTGCTCTCAGAAATCTTCTTGCTGGAAAGGGGCAAATGAGGTCAAAGCCATTCCTTCCAAGCTATGAGCAGAACTAACCACCACTTAAACCTACGGTAAACAAGGAAGCCCAATTTCCATGGCAGCCCTCACTAATTCATTTAACTACCACCTTCTAGAGAGGACCAAGGCCATCCTGCTTCGTCTCCATCCCACTATTCCTGCTTTTCAATTGAACCACCAAGACCTAGACTTCTTTCTAGCCACCCAGACTGTGCTGCGCCTTGGCCATTCTGCTCCAGGGAGAAGACCAGGGGCAGCAGAGGACAGGGACAGCCTGAGCAAGCAGCACAAGACATAGACAGACAAGTACCTACAGGAAAAAAGAAAAAAATTAATTTGGCTGAAAGACAGCTACTCCTTGATGAATAAAAAACCCAGAAGAGCTGGTGACTTTTTAAGCAGAACTCCTTGGACACTAGTACAAATATCCTGGATGTATGGACCCGGGTACCCCACTAGGAAGAACTCCCCCACCTCCACTGTGTTGAGTAGTATTCCCCCAACATTTATGTCTACCCAGAACCTCAGAATGTGACCTTCTTTGCAAATAGGGTCTTTCAGATGTAATAGTTAAAATGAGGTCATCCGATTACAGGTAACCCTATTCCAGTGACTAGTATCCTTATAAGGAAGGAAAATAGACACAGACAGACATACAGATAGAAGCTCATGTGACAACAGTCTTAGGTTGGAGTGATGCATCTACAAGCCAAAAAACTCTTGAGGATTAAAATGGCCTAACCAACATCTGGCTTCAGACTTCTAGCCTCCAAGAACTGTGAGAACACATCTCTAATGTTTTAAGCCCATGGTTTGTGGTACTTTGTCATGGCAGCCCTAGGAAACCTATACACGCCTCTATTTCACTCCCCATACCACCCTTCCCAGTCGCAGCCCAGAGGCAGGAGGCAAGACCCAAAGGCCAAGCCTCAGGCCCCCTGGACTTGGGTATTCCCTGTCCCCCAGTACCTCCCTCCCAGGTGAGGGGAGTGCAGACATCACATTTCAGCCACCCCCAGGGGCAAAGTGGCAGAGGAGTGTCTCTTTTCCCCCCACATCCTCCTAGTTTTGTAGCCTCTCATTTAGACTGGTGTTTCTTAAATTGTATCGGTCTCATTCCAGAGATATTTTTTGAAGGGTAGGGGCACAACCATATATACCTTATCCTGTCTTTTACCTAATATTTATATCAAGTCATGACTTCTACTATCTTAAAAGGAATTGCTATATCGTTACAATCAACGTAAAATCAGCATGATTTATCCTACACTTGCTAAACATTTTTTAATTGTAAATAAAATAAACACACAATTTTTTTTGCATCCATTCATGTACATTTAAAATAACCTCGGGTGGCAGTGCCATGAGAAGAAATACCGCCTAAAAGACTAGTGACTAATCTTCCCTTTAGATGTCTGGGAGCTCTGGGCTCCTTATCAATTTCAACGAGTTTAAGCCCTCCAATCTCCCTCCACCCTCATCCTCCCCACACACTGCGGTAGAAGGCTAGAGGCAGGAGGAAAGCAAAACACCAGGAGTTCCGAGTACCTACGGGGGGCGACCTGAGGACACCGAGCCGACAGCCAAAGGGACTTTAAATACCCAGTCCTGCGACTGACAAGGGCGGGGAGGAACTGACCTTCTCGCGCAGGGTGGAGTGGACGTCCGATGCGACGCGCCCTTCCCACCACGGCTCATCCATCATCGGGTATGCAGCGCCGCAATCCGAGGCTACCGGGCTCTCAGGGCGCACCCTGCGTGGACACGCGCAACTTCAGCAGCCGCAGCGCGCCCCCGGGATCCTATCTGTGCTCATTCCCGGCCGGGGAGCTGGCCGGACGCCCCCCACTTCCCCGCTCAGCGGAGGTGGCGGTCACCTCCCGACCCGAGAAGGTTGCGTTGCCCTCTGCCCGCGGGACCCGGGGCGACCTAAGAGCTGTGCAACAACTTGCAGACTTTTTATCTTCTCTTTTGCAAAAGTTACAGAGAAAGTTGTCTACTCCGCTGGCTCGCCTGAGGCTGCGGCTCCGGCAGCAGCCACCGGCTGGCCGTCCCCAACTCCTCCCCCGCCACCCAGCCTTTGTCCTGCTCCCACATCCTGCCCTCGAGCCGGGGGGAAACTCACCCATTCCTGTCCGGGGTTGGGGGCTGCGGGCGCCAGGCCCCTCCCAGGGCCGAGCCGGCGCTGCCCTCGGGTGCCTGCACGCGGTTGGTCTCCACCGCCGCCTGCGCAGCCCCGCTCGTCCCGGCCGCCGCCGCGCCCCTGTGAGCGTCCGGGTCCCGCTGCGGCTCGCAGCCTCCCGGCCGCCGGGGGCCTTCCTTCTTCCCTCGCTGGGGGAATTGGGGGCCGGGCCTCGCGCATGCGCCGCCGGCCCCCACACCCCGTGGGGCGGGGGGCTGGGAATTAGAGTCTTTCTTTCTCCGGCGCTGGCGCGGCTTCCTGCCCGCCCTCCTCACTCGCCTGGGTGGAAAGCTTCCTGTCACCTTCGCGGGGGCGCAGGGACCGCACGCCACCTGCGCGCACCACGCATGAAACGCGCGGGCAGGATGCCTCCTCAAAGTTCTGTCTCCCGCGTGCGTTGCTCTAGCGGACCTTCGGACGGTTCCACCTGCTTTTTTTTCTTTCTTCCTTTTTTTTTTTTACCACCCTTTTAAGCTTGCCCTGCGATGGGGAGGTAGACTTTCAAACGGACAATTCCCACGAAAGCTCGAGAAAAGCCACTCTTGATTATCCACGTGACCCTAATTCTAAAGGAGTCTCAGTAAATCAATTAGCGTTTACTTTGCTCCTGCTAAGTACAGATGTACACCTCCTTACGCTGGAGGAAATCCAGTCTTTTGGACGTTCCGGTGGATGGAAAGTATTGTCTTTTAATTCAGTTGATTGTTTTGGGAAAGGCACTCCCTTGAATCAGCTCATCTTTTGACACAGCATTGGGCTGTCTTCTTGGTTGATAGTTTCTTGTGATACATCTGGAGATTCACAGACCTGTTTAAAATACGCCTACCAACTGGGTGATTTTTGCCAAGTTCCTCAGACTCTCTAAGCACGGAAACTCTCATGTGTAAACTGGAAATAAAAATGGCACCAACCTGCTGGAGATATTCCATCATTAAATAAAATAATTTGTGTAAAGGGTAATCGCCATGCCAGGTGTAAAATGAACACTCAATAGCCACTACTAAAGAGTTTTTGGTTTCTGACTAGTTTCCTGTAAGCAAATACCCACCTGGCAAAAAAATTTTAAATGACCTTTGATAAGCTTCAATTTGAACTCACAGAGCAGTTTTAATGTAAAATAAAAATCATGAACTCTAGTAAAAGTGTAAAACACCTAGAAATAAAATGTAATTGAAGACATTATAAAAGTTGAAACACAAGAGAGGCTTGAAGAAATAAAAAGATGAAAATACCAGCTTTATCCAAATATTCCTTTTAATATAATTCCAACGATTGTGGGTAAGTGAGGATGGGGGAGGATGGCACTTAACACTTTTTCTAACACTCAAGTGGAAGAATATCTGTGAGAAAAGTTAGGATTCTTATATTTTTTAAATGGTAGGATATACCTATATTCAAATCTGAAAACAGTGTAAATGTAACTGTAATGAAAGTTGTCATGTTGATACAAGAATGGATGGATAAGCATCAATGGATAACTGAAAGTCTAAAAACATAATCAATATACTTAAAAATTAATCATATGATGAATGGGCATTTCAACTTCTGTGGGGAAAAGGATAAGTTCTTTGATACAAGAATGGATGGATAAGCATCAATGGATAACTGAAAGTCTAAAAACATAATCAATATACTTAAAAATTAATCATATGATGAATGGGCATTTCAACTTCTGTGGGGAAAAGGATAAGTTCTTCAATAAATTAGCAGGAAAATTAGTTAATCTGAGGGAAAAAACCAAACTAGGGATTTACTTAAGCTATCACCAAAATAAATAAAAGAACCTGTCAAATGACAAAACTATAACAATTTAGCAATGAGTTTGATGTCCTTTATTCAAGAGAAAACAATCCATGGATTCGGGCAGTGCCGTGCCTCTCAGGCAGTGAGACACTCTTTCCAGAGGATCTGGGACAAGAGTGAGTTTCATAGAGCATTTCAGGAGGCAATGCAGAAACAGGGCATGATTGGCTGGGAGGTGAAGGATTTACAAATAAGGCAAGCAGGTCCTGTTTCCTAAGGTTGTAACGTAAACTGTTGGAGACTTGTGACTGGTGTATGTTAGGCTTTTTGACAGTATTTTCTGAGAAGTGCAGGCTGACTTTAGATTAGAGTTCGATTTGTGACCTGGGCTGGGCCACTATGGTGGCCTCCACTTTGTGGGTCCCTATGTATGAATAACTTTATCAAACACAATGAACAACAAACAGTAACAACAAAATCACAAGGAATTAAAAGAAGACAGATGAATTGTTTCAGAGAAGGCCCAGATATTAAGGCACAGGAAGAAACCAAAAGCAAGGAGGAACATACATGTTTGAAAAAATAATGCAAGACATACATATTAAATTTCACCATAAAGGCAAATGGTGAACTGCAGATATTTTTAACAAATGTGTCAAAAGTTTGATTTTATTATATAGACTCCTTACAGAACATTAATACCCAAAATCTTGAAATGGAAGAACAGACATGTCATGAAAGAACAAATTCAAATGGACAAATATCATTTTTTAACTGCTCATGCTCTCTTGCAAAGACATGAACATTTTTTTAGAAATAGTAGAATATATCTTTATCAAGGAATTTAAAAAACATAATATGCAGAGTTGACAAATACAGTGTAGGTGGGAATAGAAATTAATACTATGTTTCTGAAAGATAATATAACTCAATACATTAAAAAATGTATCATTTGATCCCCTATTCCACTTCTGGAAATTTATTTTTAAAAAATTAGCAGATGAATACAAATATTTACCTACAGGGGGTTTCATCACAATGCCTTGTTTTTTGGGGGGCTATCATTAATCTATAATTACAGGAGGAACATTATGTTTACTAGACTTCCCCCATCACCAAGTCCCCCCCTCATACCCCATTACAGTCACTGTCCATCAGCGTAGTAAGATGCTATGGAGTCACTACTTGTCTTCTCTGTGTTGTACAGCCCTCCCTGTCCCCCCTCTACATTATGTCTACTAACAGTAATGCCCCCCTTTTTTTCCCCTTTGTCCCTTCCTTGTTACCCACCCTCCCCATTCCCTTTCCCTTTGGTAACAGTCCATTCTTGGGTTCTGTGAGTCTGCTGCTGTTTTGTTCCTTAAGTTTTTTTATTTGTTCTTATTCTCCACAGGTGAGTGAAACACAATGCTTTTTAAAATTACAGTTGACCGTTGGATAACACATGAGTTAGGGATGCTGAACCGCTGCACAGTTGAAAATCCCTGTATAACTTTTGACTCCCTCAGAACCTAACTGCTAATAGCCTACTGTTGACCAGAAGTCTTACCTATAACATAGACAGTTGATTGACACAGACTTTGTATGTTATATGTAGTACATACTGTATTATTACAATTCAGAAAGTTAGAGAAAAAATTATTAAGGAAACCATAAGGAAGAGAAAATACATTTACTGTACTATACAATATTTATTGAAAAAAATCCATGTGTAAGTGGAGCCATGCAATTCAAGCCTGTTGTTCAAGGGTCAACTGCACAGTAAACTGTTAGAACAGACACTGGTTGAATAATGATTTGGCTCTTAGAAAACATTTCTTAAGAGACTAATGACTTGGGAAATGTTCACAGTTTATTAAGTGAAAAAGGAAATTAAAGTATGAGCCCAATTATGCTACATTCACACACACACACACACACACACACGAAATGGAAGAATATCTTCAAAAATATTAGCTGTTAATCAGAGTTGTAGGATTATGAGACATTTTATTTTACTTTTTATTCTACTATATCTGTATTTTCTAATTTTTCTACAGTATGCATTACTTTCATAATCAGAAAAAAGGGTGAATGTTATTTTTAAATTATCACATGATACCCGTACTTCCACTGAATACCAACTCACAGTAGTGTTTCATTTTGTTCTTTGTTTTTCAGAGTAGCAGTATTTCTTTCTCAATCTTTCTATGCAGAGTACACCAGAAGAAGAAAGGCCTTCATTATTCACTAATTTGGAGTCCTCTTTTCCTAACTTTAGCCCACACTTATCAGGTGAGAGAAGGAGGCAGAAACTTTGGGCTTTTCTCCAGGAGCTATTTTAAGAGGATTCTAAACATCATTCCTGCTCTGCAGTCCTGTGCATATCATTCTCAGGAGTCTCTCCTTTTCCCAGTATCTCTGAAGAATAACAATACATTGCACTGATGGTTTCGGTGGTGAGTCGCTGTCCCCAGGTAGAATGGTGTCCAGTTCTTAGCAGGAGTGGCTTCCTCTGGTGGACAGAAGGGGAACAATGCAGCCAGAGCTACTTCCCCCAACCAATACATCCCTGAGATGTATACACTATAAGCCAAGCCTAGTATGCTACAGTACCACAAGCCAAAAAGGATTCATTCATTCATGCATTCAAAAACTAAGACTTTACTAGGTGCTTACTATGAGCCAGTTACCATCCTCCCATCCCCAACTGCTGAAGCTCACAGGGTGGGAACCAAAGATTTAGATCCAGACCATCCTACCTACCTACAACTTTCCCATGTACAAAAATGAGAAAAAAATTTTTTTCTCTGACTGCTCCAATCTTCATCAGAGGACATATCAACCTAACATCACTGATTACTCACTTTAACTTTCCTTTCTCTTTTTTAGATGATACAGGCTCTCAATTACAAATATACATGATGAAATGTGTATGTTCCTGCCCTGGGCCTAGACATCTTTCTCCTTCCCAGGGATAACCAGCACCTTCTGTTTCCTCCTAGAAGTGATCCATGCATTTACCAAGTAGACATCCATGCCATTTTTGACTTTTACACAAATGATAGCATGAAGGCTTCTTTACTACTTTTGTCTACCTCCTCTGAGTCTTGCTTTTCCCTTGTAGTTGTTTCATGAAAATGCCCGCAGAGCTGCCTGGTTATCCCATGGTCCAGATCCATCATGATACATGTAATCGATTTTGCTGGACATTTTGATAGTTTCCAGCCTTTGGCTTCCATAACCACATTGCAGTGAGTATCCCGGGTGGCAGGGGGGTCAGTGATATAAATTCTTTGAGCACTCAGCTTCACAGGGGAGGTTGAGGATATATACTTTGAGTACTGTTTCCTTAGGGCCTTAATGGTTTGCATTGCATCATTTAGGACCCAAAGCATGAAGCTGGCTCTGTTTTAGGGACAGGAAGAAGACATCTGGTCCATCAACTTTGAGACAGAAGCCTTCTTTACTACTTTTTCTTTAACCAAAACCAAACCAGCTCCTTTACACTGTTTCTAACTGTGTGCTCTACATAGTCAAAAGAACATTGGCAAAATCTTTATGATCCTTGACTAGAAATTCTTGAGATAATAACTCTATAGATTAGGTCTGAGAAACAGATAGGAGGAATAAAAAAGCAGCACTTGGCAAACGAAACTCAAAGCCTAAGGCATTTATAAAG